GGAACGTCTCACTGTTTTACTTCGTGCAAATGCTGATGGTACGGAAAAGATGACTTCTTTAGCTACAGGAAAGTAATAAAACCAAGGAGCTTCAAAAATATGAAAGCATTGCCATTAGAACGTAAAGCTAATAAGAAATCGTGGATGACTATGGACGTTTTTACAGAATGGGCTCAAGAAAATATAGAAAACTACGAGGAGAAAAAAACCGCAAAATTTTACTTTTAACGGATCAGGTGTACTGCCTTTCCTCAAACGAGAGATTTCTTGCATAATGTGAAAGTTGTTTTCTTCTCGGTAAATTGCACTAGTGTAGTACAACCTTTAGATCTGGGTATCATTAAAAATTTGAAAATGTTCTACAGGCAAGGGCTGATTCAAATAGCCCTTCAAAACATAACTACAAGAAATAAAGAAAAAAATAATATTCGTGTTGTTATGAATATGATTTCACTTGCCTGAACTCAAACAAAACCACGAACAATTAGAAATTGATTTATTAAAGGGATATTTTCGAATCCAAGTAAAAGGGTTGACGATAACAATGGTAAAAAATCTTGGGATAAAAGATGTGTTTATGGATAAAGAAGATTATAAACTACTAAGATTAGACATTACAATCAAGGAATACATAAACTCTGATGCCAATGTAATGACGTCAGACTTTTATACAGTTGAAGAACTGATTCAAAGCATTTTACTGTATAAATATTTAAGTAGCTGGGATGAAGAAGAAAATGAAGAAATAAATCCAACTGCTTTTCAAAATGCTATCTACTGCATTCATACCCTCAGGAATTTCTTGCGTGAATACAAGTAAGAACTGAGAACTGAATTCGATTCAAGAATTCGATTGAATTCAAGAACTGAATTCGATTCATAGCGCTGTGCATGAGATTCAGAATCAAAAGGCACGACATACTAAAATTAAAGACAATTTCTTTAAAAAAATTAAAATTTTGCTTTAAAATACTTTTGAAAAAATGTTACTTATTCAAGATTGCAATTCAAATAAAGGTACGGGTTTTTTTTTTTTTTCACAATTTCACGTACTACATACAAAAATTTGCATTCTTTAATATAATTAATAAGATAATAAATTTGCATTCTTTAATATAATTATTCTTTATTATAATTAATATTTAATATAATTAGTAAATTTGCATTGTTTAGTCAATATGATTTTAAAACTATTAAATTTGTATAAATATCATCTTTAAAATATAAATTATGTAATAATGTTTTAAATTGCTTAATTGTTTAAAATGTATTAATATTCAATAAATATTTATTTAAAATATTAAACTTAAATTTGTTTGAACATAATTAATAGTTTAAGCAAATTGAAAGTATTTGATAAAATTGCGTAATATCAGTAGTAGGTTAGCAGAATCAAAATTGGGCAACCAGTATATATGTTACCGTAAAAGACCGAAATTGGAGAATGTCGACTTTCACCGGAGAATGTCAACATTCACCAAATACAAGAAAAATATTCACCAAATACAAGATCGAATATTACACTACATTCTTGTACATTCGGACCTTCACCGGTGTATGTCGACAATCACAGATATGCTCTGGTGTAAGTCGAAAAGAGAGGTCATAAAGTGCCATAATAGTTTAACCCTTTGACGCGCGGTGGTCGCGCCCTGAAACCACCATTTTCCGAATTTTTTTCCTCCTCTTTTTTTCCGAAATTTTTGAGTGAAAATGAATTGATTACTGATCTTTAACATCTAAATAACACAAAATGACTGTGAAATCATATATGTTTTAGGTATTAATACTTCAGATCGGATGCCTTTTAAAATTCGTTTTCAATGAGACAAAATAACTTCCTTTTATTAATATAAACAACTTTAAATTTCAAAAGTTAGTCATCGCACATCATGATTTCTATCATAAACAATAAAAAAATTGCAGTAATTAAACTGCGTATATAAAAAGAACCCTCTATATGTATGGCATTTGCTATGTGGTTTCAGGACGCGACCACTGCGCCACTAGAGCTTTCTGTCACAATGCTTACAATCCTCTATAGGCTCGGTGGTCGCGCCTTGAAACCAATGGCGTTTGCTTCTCAATGGCGTTCGCTTGCTTTTCAAATAAGAATGCTTAATTTTACCCGGATTTAGATAAAGGGCTTTGAAACCACAGAGTTATTTTATTACTAAACAATACATGCACCTGCCCAGTAAAATTGTCTTTCTTTTCCAAATACTTTTCTCTGACATCAACACACTTGCTCCCCAAGCTAGTATTGTGATTTTATAAATTATTTCCTGTGGTTTAAATTTAATGTAAATATACTTTGCTATAATTAAAAATAGAAATTGCGTAAAAGTTTTATTTAAATTAAAAATATTTTCTGCATATTTTGGGACGAAATACGAATAAAATAAGTATGAATGGGAAACGAACGATCCGTACAAAGCCAAAAAGACCAAGCCCGCCCCCATTAACATAAAAAACCACAAATTTCATGTGCCAGATGAAAAGAAACTAAATAACGCATGGCATATACCAGTGAAATTTAAATACAGGCAGTGTACATTTTGTAGCACAAGGAAGAAACTTCATAGAACAAGATGTATGTGTGAAACGTGCAATGTGAGTCTATGAATATCACAAAGAGACAAAACATGCTTTGAACAGTGTCACACACACAGACAAAAAAAAAAAAAAAAAAAAAAAAAAAAAAAAAAAAAGTTCTTTGAAATTTAAAAAAAAAAACACTGAGTTCTTTTTTATCTTTATTTTATTGAGTTTTTTAATCCATTTATCGAAATGTCCTTATTATGTAGGTACTTATATTTTCACTGCTATAGAAAAAATTACATAAATGTTTATTTTTTAATTTTTTCTGACGATTTACTTTGTAAAATAATCTAAAAATATATATATAATGCAATTCTTACATACGTTTTTTTAAAAATCCGTAAATTTCGTCAGTTATTGGAAACGCGCGCGGAAAATGGTAAGTTTTTTCCCTACAACATCAGTAAGTTTCAAAGTCCTAGACGCGCGGTGGTTTCACAGTGCGACCACCACCCACATAACAATGGGCAAGAGTACATTTTTTTAAATTCATATATTATTTGTCTCTAGGATCATAATATTCAATTTCTAGAGTTTCTAGTTAAAAAAATTATAAAAATAATATCGCGCGCGTCAAAGGGTTAAGTTGTTGCAATAAATAAGATTTGAATCACATAATTTAGTAAATTTTTATTACTGTTATTTTATTTTCTCATTTAGAACGTACTGTATAATTAAGTAAGTTTTTAACTTCTATTATTTTCCTTTCTCATTTTGAATGTATTGTGTGTTTTATGTTCTTATGTTCTTAAGTTCTTATTTCAAGTCTCAAGAGCGTTTATTCGCGACTGAATTACGGAGAAGAAAATATAATATTGTTATATGTTTATATATATATCGAATATAATATTGTTATATAATATTGTTAATATACAATATAATATACATATAATATTGTTATATGTTCGACATTCACCGGTGAAAGTCGACATTCTCCAGATTTCGGTGTTTCACCATAACATATGTATATATTTCACATTGTAAAGTTTCGTTTTCACGTCTTTCCTATTTACACGTAGTTTGTTAATGGTCCCTTGAAAGCCGTATGAACGATTCTCTATTTTATACCCTATACTATAAATGTACAATATATACACATACAGTACAGCAAAATATGGCATAGTATATTTTTCTTTTTTCCAGTGGCGAGTAATATATATTATAGACGTTGGCCACTACTGAGGCCGGAAACGATGGTTACTTTATCACGGAGATTCCTTGTGGGGATTTAATTAGCTTTACTAACAGATAATTCTTAGTTAAAGCAACTTTCGTTTTATTCTCGTTTTCACCCACGCTTTCCTGCCAGAATGGTAATTAGCTAGCGCGAGCGCATTCAAATTGAGGCAGAAAAGAAGTGCTGTTTAAGGGAAGGTTTTTGAAGGTGTTTGTACAGCATGTTGTGCCTGCTTGAAGGCTACCTTTCTATTTTGAATTGCCAGAGATTTGATTTCCTACGCGCCATCCTGAGCGTTAAATTGTCTCGTGAGCCGTCAGGTTAAATTTAATGCATTTTATTTTGAGTTCAACTTTACCTATTTGAGTTTAGCCAGAAGTGTTGGTTGTGTAAGCCTAAATGGGGCCATATGTGCAACTATATTGATTGAATAAAGGGTTCTTTACACCCAACTTCTGATTTTCTGTTTTCATTAAGACCTGGAGATAATTCTTCATACAATCTCTTAATCGTTAGTTTATACTACCCAACAGAACAAACTCCATAACCTAATAGGTGGCAACCGTTGCTCCTGTGAAGGGACAGACAAATTACATCTATGTCTTCTCCAGGATTCGCACCCGGACCTTTCGACACGGCAGGTTAGAGTCATTACCCACTTTCCCATCTGGGCAGCATGGTATAGTATATAGTGTAGTACGTAGTTCAATATACGAGCCCAGTTATACTGTGTTGAGATTAAGTTCATAATACAATATATAATATAGCACAGAGTGTATTAAGCGTAATATATATTATAATACAATCTATTAAATGTCAAAAATTCATTGAAGAATTTGACATATAAAATTTAGATGATTTATATTTACTATAATATGTGATTAAACTAATGATATAGGATGCGAAGAATTAGCAAGTCACTTTTGTAAGTCAAAGAAATAAACCAAGCCACCCAGACGGAATAGTGGTTAGGGAAGAATGACTGCGATAACGTTAGGCCTGGGTTCAAATCCCGGAGAAGGCATGGTTTTAACTGTCCGTCCCTTCATAGGAGGCGATAGTGGCCCACCTATTAGATGCCTCCACAATGCCAGGTGCCTGCTCCATAAAAAACCACCACATCTGGCCTTGTATAGATTAATGGACTGTGTTACATTGTAATTATTCACAATCTGCCATTGGGAAAAAAGGGATAAACCAAATGCAGAAGAGAACTACTTACCCTTTAGCGTAAGGCGGCTCCAGATCGAAATGATAAAATGTGAGCTTCAAGGTTTCAAAATCACGTCCAACGAAATTGTAGAAGCATTCCACATTTGCAGAATACTTTTCCGGATAGTCAGGAGATGAGAAATTCCCTACTTTGCTGTTTTCGCTATCGAACTGGTAGAGGCATCTAGCTGTAAAAGAATGAGTTCATATTAGCAAAAATATTTTTGCTTGAAAATAATCCAGATAACTACATTAGAGCTTCTGAAATGTAATATCTTTTGCCAGCTTTGATAAAGATTTTTAACTAAGATAATACAAGGATGTCTGCAAATGCTTTAAAGAGATTATATGAAAATGGATATAAAAGCAAGGCGATTATAGCAGTTTTTCCTAATCTTGATTTGAAAACGAAAACTTCGTTAACTTTTCAACTAAGTTTGAATTACACATGGGAAAGTTTGCTCAGGCATTTAATAGTAAATATTCTAGGCAAAGGTTTCTTGTTTTACACCAATTTGGAAAATTGGAAGATAAAACTACACAGCATAAAAATGAAAAACATAACTGCTAGGTAAGTTATGAATGCCTAAAGAGTTTATAAATGCTAGTTTACTTTACCATTTGTCACCACAAATTAGAAAAAGAATCTATTGTAAAGTGTAAAATTTGCCGAACATGACAATACACAAGCCCCTAAAGATTTCACACAGTAAATATTAAGAAGAATTTAAATAAATATAGAGGTCTGCATAAAATTATGCGTTATACATATTATACTATTGTATAATTTCGGAGTTGTCTTCTGCTTTGATTAAGACAAGACCAGGTGTTTTATGCAATTATTTAAAATTATATAACTTGCTGGTCACTTCTTTCTAAAATATTAGTCAAAATAATAAGTTGATCTTTGCAGTAAAATGTGGTTCTCAGTTATTTTCACGAAGTTTTATACACCACTGCAAAATTTAAAATACGCAATAAATCCCACTCGATGTTTCTCTGCTTATCCAGAAGGAATCGTATCAACTATAATTTTGTTGCTACTATAAAGCAAATACATTGCGTTTGTATTCCTATGAATATGTCAGTCTTCCAAAATGAAAAAAAATCGTCATATTTTTTAACATTACTTTTTCCTTCTTGATTCTCAGGGTTAGTAATACGCATAACAGTGTTAGTGTTTTGTGTCTGTAAAACTAATATTGATATAAAAACTGTAAACGTTTCTTCTTGTAACGGGAAACAGTTGGGGGGATCAAAAACTATGGCATAGAATACATTGTAGCTCTATAGATTATTCCTTATTCCTTTTAGAAGCTTGTAATGTTTAACAATATCAAAGAACTCATTTTATTGGTTAGGTGCATAAGGTTGCTGTACTTTGGGTTTCAAGTTAGCTGGAAGCCTTATGATTTGTATGTGCGTAAATGTGAAAGGCGTAAAGAAAACGTTTAATTTTCAGAAGAGATCAGTACATGAATTTATTAATAAAATGTTCTAACTTCTACAAAACTAATCTCATTTCATTCATACATAATTTATTTAAGCATGGTTTTTAAATAAGTTATTAAATGAAAACGAAACTAGAAAGTTTGGGTCTTTTTTTTAATGAATCTTTATCGTTTATTCAATGATTTCTGAAAACAAAGCATGCTTATGTATTTTTAAAATATGAAACATTTTCAAGTTTCATAGACATCGACAGATCTTAAAAATAACATGTATGCCGGCTATCAAGAAACTATGTAAATAACATATATAGCATATATACCTATTGACAAACCATATAAATAACAAATACACTGGCCATCGACTAATTATGTAAAACAAAACTGTATTTGCTAAAAATCATTCTTATCAAATTCATAATATTTTTTCGTTATGCAGACAAAGAAAAGAGCACATTTTGTTTCCAATGTAGTGGAATAAAATGCATTTGAAATAATCCAAAATTTCTTGTTCACAAATTGAAACTGAGGATACTTATAAATTTATACTTGCTGAGAAAATAAAACTCAGTACTTCAAAAAGAAATGTATGAATATCTTCTCGTTTTTACACACCATCATTCTAAGTAGTGGCGCCATATTATATAAAACTTCGTGTTTTCGTTTCCTCAACAAGAGCGAAAACAGATCTGTCTATATTTTCCTTCTAATAAGATGGCAATATACAGTTATTTAAAAAAATACATTTAGTAGTTTAAACTAAGATGGTTCATTTATCTTCATTCGCCATATGTATGGCATATAATTTTGAACTGAACGCACTGAAAATAGAAATTTGCTTTGCTCGATAAAATAGCATTTCATTCCAGTTTATGCTTTAAAAGATCAAAGAGCTGTTAGTGACAAGAAGAACAGAAATACAGATTATCTCATATCTTTTCATTTAAACCAAGTTCAGGTTTTATCCAACTATTCGAACAAGTCCGTGTCTTTCTTTATCGTTTAAGAAGAAGGTTACTGTGATGAAGTGAAGAAGAAATTAAATTTATCTGATATTTTCTTCTTTTATTTGTATTATTTCTGCTTTCAAACTTACGGATTTAACTTGCTTGAATAGAGTTAAGCCTTTGGAGGGATTCTGGTTTTCTTTTTTCTGCCTGAAATATTTTCTAGGTATTTCACAAAAATGGACAATGGAAACTTTTCTACTGTAAGAATCTTGAAGGTTTTCGGTACCATCTACAGATTGATATGTCACTGCTATTTTAAAGCACATACAACCTCTTTTTTCTTTCGATTTAAGATCTAATAAGTATAAATAAACGCTAGTAACAATGACATATATCTTTTCAGAATTTGTTTTTATTCTTATGGCCTATTTTTCTCCTTTATTTCCGGAGTTTGATTTGTGCATTTTTCTATAAAAGAACTATAACGTTATGTTTATTATATAAAGGTAGCAAAAATAACACATGCTAAGCAAAAAACGTGCTCTTGATTGCAAAAGTTTATGGCGCAAAAACTGCTATAATTAGACATGGATAGAATTTTGGTAATGGTAACAGCATAATTAGGTTTTTAAAAACTATTAAAAATGCTATGTTAGTAAAGTTCAACGCGTGCCCTCTTTGCAGTTTAGAGAAGGTCAAATCGGTATTCCAGTTCACCTGTCCTTCAAAATTCATTCTGTAACACTTGACACTCAGCACGTATTATTCTGACCTTCAAGATATCAGTATCACGAACTGAACAAACACTACTGGGAAAAAGACCTTCGATCCTGAATAAGTCCTCTATCTGATTCTTGATGCCATCAACAATGACACTACTCACAGTACGCTAGCTACTTCTTTGAAAGTCACCAAACCTAACAGTTTTAAACCTTCTTTACTAATTTCTGATGCTCTTAAAATCTGAAGGGTTGCATTGACACCAAATTCTAAACCACCGTTTACACGAAAATACACTTTTTTCCAATCGTCGTCATTTCGTTTGCATCTATTCCTTGCCGTCATCAACTACATGTTGAAGTAAACTATAACACTAGATAAAATAATAAAATTTCCCATTTCTATCGTCTTGTGCAGAACATAATACTATTAACAGGATTCTCAGGAATTGCCTATTATACACTCGAATAACAATTTAATTAAATACAAGGGAGCAGAATTCAGCAGGCCATCTCACACCACACTCAACACTGTGATTGCAGCTGCTATCATTGTTATATCAAGCATTAAACTACTATGTTCATGTATGATAGACATCCTTTGAAAGATAAACCACAGTTCCACACGATACCGATAATCTTTGCCATTTATATATTGCTTAAGGGATTTCAAACGGAAACAGTAATCACGAATGCTTTTGAAAATTAATATTGCATTGTACAAGTGCTAAATAACAAAGGTAACCAAAGGTATTCGTGTAACACATATGATTTGGAAACACGATTAAGAGCAATATTAAACAGAATTCTGTAATATCAGTGATCATTGTGTTTGATCCTTTCTCATCTTAGACTGGCTTTCATTAGATAATTCTTGTGGGATTATAAACAAATGAAATGAAATTATAATTTAATAATTATATCTGGATTCGAAGTATAAATTTTAAATAACTTTTATTATATTTTGCATGCAAATAATGCTAAGAAATTAACTTTCTACTGAGTATTTCCTTGCAAATAAATCTAAACTACAATAAATACATATACAAACAAGTTTTATTAGTATACATAAAATCTGTAGGATTACGTTAATACAAATTTTGGAATAAAATTGAAATGATCAGTGCATGAAATGCATTCATTTTTCTTGATTTATGCTATAAGGTACCACATTTCCTACGCTCTGGATACTAATCTCAACTCGCTGAAAGCTTAAACCTTTTACAGCTTATTGTGTGAACAGGATTTGAAAGAGCATTATAGATAATCGGCAAAACTACACTTAAATTTTGGAAGTCGTTTAATGCATTCTTCAAGCAAATCCGAATGTTTAAGTGCAAAAGTTTATGATCAGTTATTAAAAGCAGCTCAGAAAATAATAAAATAATTAGAGGAGTTTTATAGTTGTAAATAACTGGACTCTTCTGCTTTCAAGATGTAGTATTAAAATTGATAGCAGTTTTATTCATATAATTATTAGTGCGAGGTATTTAGTTTCAAACAACCAACGCTACCTTTATATTTATTCAAGAATTAAAATTTACATGCCTAATGCACCTGCTTTGACATACCTACATGGCTATAATAAAGCTTGTTTCAGGCCAATACCTCTTCATTATTATTTATTCAGAAATAACATAAAATTTGTTCTTTTAGAAAAAGAAAGTTTCTAACAAGGATAATTGTCAAATTTATGAAAAAGAACTCGAAAAATGCAAAACTTACATTATTTATTTCAGTATCTACAGCGCTTGAAGACAAATTATAATTTAATGTCTGCGCTTGCTAACTGAAATATGTAATACAATTAAAATATGTTTCTACCAGATGGTATAGAACAATGTACTTAGACATATAAATAGGCATTTTATAAAATTCTGTATGCAAACTCCCACCAGCCTGTGCACATATTTTACTAAAAGAAACAAAAATCTTTCCCTTTCACGGTTTCCGATAACTTACAAAGCTTTCAAATAATATCACACTTTTAGCATTTTATACAATATTAAATAATGCAAAACGATTTGGAACCTAACCTTCAATAAAAATCGGAGCGTAGGTTCCAGAATTATAAAAACATTAAAAACGTGCACTATAGAACTCTAAAAAGAATTACTCTTTAAATTATATATATTTTTTTGAAAAAGCTTAGTAATGTGCATTCTAATTAACAGTTATTTATGTTAAAAATCTATCCTACATTTCTACTATATCATTTACTCCATCAGAATGTGTAAATGAAGTAAGTTTTAAATGGAAGCGAGAACTAAGTCTTGGAGAGAGGCTTGTCAACATTAGCCTACCGCAATAAAACTCCTCCACTACTGTCTTCCTTAAGTACTCAGACTATCTGCTGGTGAGTTTCTATTTCAATTAAAAGTTTATTCGTGCAATGCCAGTGTCACATTTTAAGGTTTAAATTTTGACTTGTAAGTAACTGAATAATTGTTCATGCCCAACCGCAAGTGAAGTTAATTTTGTTAGAAGTTTTAGTTGACACCTACAGCTAAAATCAAATAAATCTGCGACTGTTTTACAGTATTTCATATACTAAGTGTTGAAAACTAAAAATGGGACAGTAATTTGTGCGATGGTCAAAATTGTTAGGACAGTGCTTAGATTAAGCCACACTGAACTTATCCTTACAAGCTTGAGTAAGATTTCACATATTTCTTGTAACATATCATGGAAGAGTAAAGAGGATTTCAATGCTGCTGATGCTTATGTCTTGATAATTCTGTTAAGTCTGCCCCTCAGATGAATTTGAACTCTAATTACTCTTTATTTATTTGAAATTCGAGAATCATTAGGTTATTTGGAAGGAGACATGAAAAATCTGCAATGCCGCTTTATTCGAACACCGGACCTCCCAATTGCTATTCTGACATGCTATCCAGTTACACCACGAAGGCACGCGGTAAGGAGGAAGAAAATACCTTATAAATAGTCTTATTTACAACATCAGTTAAATTTTAGGTATACAATAAATATTGTTTCAGTAGTACATTATCTCGGAAACTATTCGCATTTTGTCCTCCATCTTACTGCAAGCCACTACATTTAGGGAAAAAAAAATATTATTTTGTTTCCCGTGTTGTTAAATATTCCTTACCCAAATCTACATTTTATCATTCGTTCATTTAAAGAAACATTACTAAGGTAAAGAAGCATCTTTTCTTACCAACAGTTCACACATTCTCATGTTTCATTAGGAAATTTCTTTTTCCATTCCAAATAACACCAGGAATTCAGTTGCCATCCCTTTCCTTCCTTCTGTCAGTCCCAAAATCTGACAAAATTTACACAGTCCTTTATAATTTATTTTAAATAATTTCAGACTTATACTTAAAGGTGTTGTTCTTGATATAAAATACTGGGAATTAAAAACATCCTTCTTCTGATGTAAAATCCTGGAGAATTAAAAACATCTTTTTCTGTTGTGACTGCTGACACACCATTCATACGAAGCTACTTTTAGAATTCTGCGTTATGGAACATGAAACGCATGCTTGAAGAAAATAAGCTCATGAATCAATCACTGCAAAGCATGGTAGGAATCCTAAAAACAGAATCTTAAATTTTCTTCTGCCAAGATTATTTAAAATTATTGTTATTAATGTTGTTTTGAAATTTTGTATATTGGCAAGTCTTTCCACTTCATTTGACGATATTAAAAGTTTAACCTTTATTCTCATTGGTCTTTAAGCACTTTTTGCTGTGTGATTCCGTTTTTCTTTTTGTTTCCTTGTACAGATATTGTTCTATTTCTCGTTTCATTGGAAATAGAGACATTTCTACCATTTTCCAGAACCTTCTATTTAGTATTTTTTTTTGATACTCTGCTTATCTCTTAATTTCTACTCATTCACATTATTCACCGTTTTACTCACTCACTCATTCACAAGTGAATACGGTTTAAATCATAAGACTTAATGCTTTGTTAGCTCATTGACTATGCGAGTAAACTCTGTTGTGGTAAATTAGCAGAAAATTTAATTAATTCTGTCTTTTGAAGTGTCTGATCTAATCAATTATTGCAATATATATGCAAATCAATCACGCAACAAATAGAAGAAACGTTGCGGGAATGTTAAATAATAAAATAACAGAAGATCTAAGTCCAATAATCTCTAAATAATAAATTTAAACCCTAAAAATCCTTTTGCTTATATCATCCTTTTCTGTTGGGCTTGCTCATTACAGATTATTCATACTAAACCAGAGTGTTTCTAGTGCTGTGGAAATTGAAAGTAATTCATATTTAATAATCTTTACGTTTGTAGGAAATTTATAAGTGTCAAAGCACTACTGTTTCGGGAGAAATGCTTAAACATTCTTCTTCCTTAAACAATTTAACTCTTTTTAATATCGCCATTTCTATAACATAAACACTTTTAGAAGCTAAACTTTTAATTTCTGGAATTTCCAGGAATTTCGAAACCTTTTAATTCCAGCTTCAATTTACTCAAGATAGATTTTCGTTATTTTAAATCTTCTTGGATAGCTTGGTGAATTTGGTAATGGCGACTTTGAATTTGGAGTGTTTAATCTCCAAATTCAAAACCGTCTTAACCAACTCATAAGCTGTATTCCTTGATATAATTTCTCTGTACATTTTGTTGTAGATTTGCTTAGAAGACTTACAATGGATAATTTACTTTCTATATTTATAAATTCTTCTTCCTTGAATACGAAAGTGGAGTTCTATTTCAGGAAATGATTATGTGTAGTTCGGATATACTTACACGAGGATGAGAGGTAATTTTCGCGTAATAAATACCGGCTTTGTCTTCTCTTTCTTAACTCCCAAAAGGTAGCTTCCTGGAAGATGGGATACTTTACTCATTGAGTGGGATTCTAGAAGGTAATCTGATTGATTTCCTACTGCTGACAAGTGTAGCACTGGACACACTCTGGTTAGTCACAATAAGGGTAGAGCCAAAAATCATTTCATTTTTGCCTTGTATTCCTCCTAATGAATGACTCACGTTCAGTTCTTTATTTAGAAGTAAATGCTAGAGCCACAGAATCGTAACCAGTTCTGTTTCATATGTGAAGGTTTTAAGCTTAATATGCAGCTTAAGACATTAAATAGCGTTATTTAATGACTCTTAATTGGAGATCCATTGGTTTAACAGACACGCGTACACACATCGTCTCCTTCAAAATTCACGTTCGAACGACTAGTGCTTTTTCTTGAAAATTCAACCTTGAGTTTGACATGTATAAAAACACCTCCTCAGTATTCGCAGTGGTGAGTACATGCGAGAATCAAAGCACGTTCAGCTGAGATTGATGCATTTGATTTCGCATACTGAATTACGAAACTCCTCTCCATAATAAACACTATCCTTGAAAACTGAAAACATGAAAGCAGTTGGCAGTTACATCAGTTATTGCTCTAAAATAAAAGAAACTCTCTGTACCTTCTTTTTTACTTGTATAAGTTATATGGCACTCTCGCTTAGCCCTTAACTGCTGTAGTGGTGTATATAACACCATGGTCCAGTTATGCAACTGGAAGATCCATGGTTCAAATATCGACGACGATAAAAGGCGATTTTTTTACATTTCTTTATTTCAAAACTCCTTATTGTCTTTGTAAGATTATATCTGCATGCGTTTAGATTTGTTTCCGTATTTAACATCCAAAAATTCACTAATAATTTTGAAACATTTTAAATAAATAGCACTGTGGTAACGTTTGTCTTACGAAAGAAATTGAAGACGGATAGGAACAATTGCATTCTACACTGAGCATATGAATAGAAAAGGCAGCAGAAGTCCTATATTTCGAATGGGTAATGTGCTATATACATCTAAAGAAATCATCTTTTAATAAACGCACATGATTCTATATACTTCGGCTGTTTTCCTATAAGTATCATTTCAGAAAAATTAAAATGGAGGGGCATAAATGAATGGGCCCTAAAAACGGCAGTAATAAAAATGTATACATTATGAATTGAGTATTAGATGCAAAGGTATCATAATTAAATCTTTATAAAACAGTGGGTTTACTTCAAAAAATAATTAAATAGATTTGTTTGTGCTTACCTAGTGTTTCTCCGTAAAGGAGCATCAGAACCGGATACCTTACCAACCTTCTTTCTGTGACACGCATCTACGAGGAAGACATTTGATCAGTTTATGATATCTTGTTGTTAAATAAATATGAATATAAGTGTCAATTGCAATTATTATCTTTATAATTAGACATCATGCTTAATTACAGACAATGACAAAACTGAATTTCACACATTTGTTGAATATATTATATTGTATAACGTATTAGAAGTCATAATTCTTAGGCAAATGACTTAAAATGTCAAGAAACCCTTTGAAACGGAACATGAAAGCCTTGAAAGCATTTGGAGTTGAATTATAATATATTACTTATCTACCATATAGCGGCGCTCTAAATTATTTTGACAACGAAAATCTCGTTTGTTGCGCAAATGCTTTCAACTTTGGGAATCTAGCATGTTTAAAGACGACCGGTAGTGCATTTTCTGTGTGGATAGCTGGAAATGAAAATATTTTAGATAGTGAGTTTTATTTTGCATTTTTATCGGCATCATAGCTCAATTCTTTCGACATATTACCTATGTATCAAGATGTATACAGTGCAGCTTAAGGTCACGTTTATACTTCCTTAGTGTAAGATGGTATTTGCATTTAAAATGTAGGTTAAGAAATAGTAAGATTATTCTGTTGAATTTCGAAATTATTTAATAAAATTTCTATAGATTCAAGCTGTTCATAATTTAAGACCGCTAGGTCAATTTTAATTTTTTTAAATATTTTTTTTTAATTTATAATATACAAGGAAAACTTGCTTACAGTAAGATATGTTTTGGAAGAGAGAGAAATATACAAAGCGGTCTCCTGTAGAATAAAAATAAGAAAGAATGTCAATTTTCGAAATATAAGAAACTTGTATTTCGAACTGTATGAAATCATTTAAAAGCATCAACTATCAAACGCCATTTGATAGAAGCGAAATTCTTTTGAATGCCCCTAGCGGAATGAGTAGGAAAAGTCTTTTCAAACCCTGCAAAAAAAGCGGAAAATCCTATTATACTGTATTCAGGAAGACATAAAGTGTACTAACAGTGCCTGGATGACATCTACAACATGCTGGACGACGTCTAAATGCTTTTCAGGGAAAACGTTAAATTTAAATTGCTTCCACAGAAGACGTAGAAGTATGTATGGCGTCTAAGAAATGAAAGAAATAATCTACAGTAATTAGGTTTCAGTCTAGACACATTGTTAGCAAGGCAATTGTTGGGATAATTTTTCAGCCAAAATCCAAAATCTGACAAAAACCTGCTGTTCTCAAACAAGGTGATTAAACTTGGTAAAAGACTAACTGTCGCAAAGAAAAATGGGTATTTCTTTTGTTTTTGTAATCTGTTCCGTAAATACGAACCAGGTTTTGGGCAATTAGTTCTCTAGCCTTCATGTGCTTGCCATGCTCAAGCAAACTAATCCACAGAAGGGGGAATGTTTCTAATGACAAGTTTTCACTAAATTCCTGTAGAACTTTGGTGGGGAGACTTTAATAGGCGATTTAGAAATAAGAGTTACTCAAGTATAGATGTTCTTATTGGGGCATTGGAACAGATATGGGATTGAAAATTTGAAACCAAAATGCGAAGACCTATATCCAATCAATCATATGCTATCTAATCATATGCTCAAAGGATATTTTATATTAGTATGTGTTAAATATTTTTTCATGTATATTTTTGTCACCTCAGAATTAAGAGCATTTTATGCTAACAAACAAAATATTTAAGACACTTTGCTGGATTTCTATGTTTTTATATTCCATATATAATTTTTAATGTAAAAATATAAGTAAAATAGCAAGGGTTTCTTGTAATAAGCATTTTTCATGTCAAACGACTCTAAAGCGTTGCTGTATGTGAGGATTTTATGACTTCAGTTATTGACTGGAGCAAACTACCTTGTAAATAGTTGTATCTGACACTAACTTACCTTAAGCTATGGTCTAAATATTGTACATCCAGAGATACATTTTCCAAGAGCTACATATAAGCTAATTATTTGCTAAATAACAAGACAAAATAGTCAAAAATAAATTGTAAATTCAATAATCTACACATACATTTTATAGTCTGTAACAAAATTAAAAGCACATCATTAATATTTAAGTTTTTCTCTAAATAACTGACACAAGCAAGGATTAATTAGTAAAATTTTATTTATTTTCTTAGATTCAAAGACATTCCAAACTATGCAACAAAAATTGCATTTAATTAATTTACCTGAAAGCTAATTAATTAACCCAAATTTCTAAAACGATTTTGATTTCGAAAATTCACATAGCTATATGAACTATTCTTCATATAGCTATTAAATAATAATGAAACTATTCTTCTTCTTTCTACTACCTTATTTTGAAACACTTCATAAGTGAAAACATATACCTATGATCAAATATTGATAGAAATAAAGACCCGAACCCTTTTCGGACATAGAGACTATGTAGAGGGGCTATAAATATAAATTTTGCAGCATTAGAAATACAAATTTAAATAACTATTTTTTTCAGAAAATATTATTAAATTGTAATGTCATTAATTATTATATTTTTTAATAATTGTAGAAATGTTAGAATTTAAGAATTTTGTAAGAGAATGTTGAGAATTTTGTATTTATTCTAAGAACGAAATAAATATAGAATGCAAACTAAATAATTTTGAATATTAGCATAGAAAATGATAAAGAAAGAGGATGAGCGTTTTGAATAATAATATAGAAAATATAAAAAGTGTAACTTTCAGCATTATCGTAATGAATATTAAAAACATTAGTATTTCAAAAATTGAATAATTACAATAAAATTTAATATGTGTAATGTAATTAAAACATGAAATCGATAAGAAAATCTAATTTTAAGTTATAGTGGATGAATGATATAATTATGTAATAAATAATTATATGTTAAGTATATAATATGTTGAGAGAGTATTGGTTCTGAAACGGAGGCCTTTTTCAAGCAACTATCATAGCAACCTTTGCACACTCGTGCGAGACAAACACACTAGTTAGCTCAAATGAATATGCCCTACTGATGGAAATGTTTATTTAGAAGTATTTTAAGGCCTTCCAGTTTAGTAAAATAAGGAATTGCAAATGAAAGATTACAGCCGTGAAACCATATTTTCAGCAATATTAATCTTAATATATTTATGATGTTGCAATATAATTTATCAATATAAAAATTACTGTCATAAATTTTTACACACTGAAGAGTAATTACATTATGGGCACCTGTTTAATATGAAGTGGGACCATCTTCTGTCCTCAAAAATGACAACATCCGGCGAGGTGTTGATTCTATACGATGCTGATAAGTATCCGAGGTATCTGGTACCAGGCACTGACAAACTGGTCTAACAATTTCCGCACATTACGAAGTGCTAACTTGGCATCACAAATTCGGTTTCCTAAGTGTAACAACAAATGGTTGATTGGATACATGTCAATGGAATTCGGAGGCCAAGACATGACTTGAAATTCACCAAAATATTTCTCGAATTACTCTCTGGTCATTCGGATCGTCTGGGTCACAGCTGTTGTAGCTGTTGGTGATTTCGGTCATTGTAGCCCTTTGGTCATGGAGAACAATGGCGTAAAATTATCTGCTCTCATCTGAAATTAATGCGCCGTGGCTGACAAACCACTGGTCGGCGACTTGTTTCACCCTCCAATACGCCACTTTCGGTAAGCACTCACAACGGCTGCACATGAGCAGCCCATCAAACACGCCATTTCTGAAACTGATATTACCAGGGGTCGAGCCATGACAGTTTGATCTTTGTCGAAATCAGTTAAATCAGCTATTTTTCTCATTATGTCACTAAAAATTCTACGTGTAGAAAATCAGTGCATGGGCGCCAGAATCAACCACTTGTGCGCCGTGGTTTTGTCTTCGGGCGAGCTTATTGTTTTAAGTGAGAGTTGATCATAATTCAAGAGCTGTTAAGTATATGTGTTACAGATAATTAGAATAAGTAATGGTAATCTAAAAGTTTTTGTTATACTATGTGGGAACAAAAACCTTCCCGGAAGAATTATTAACTAAAACAGGGAGACGTTTGGACTGAAATGCTGAAACATTTAGGAGGACTCTAAAAATTATACTTTTTTAAAAAATCTTATGTTCAAAAAATATACTTTACAATTAATTAATTTTTTTATCAACATTTTGAGATTTATCTACAAAGTAACGGGATTAGTCAATGAATTCCACACTGTTTAGCTATTCGCCGTGTTAAACATTTGTTTTGTGCCTACATAATATTTTGACCATCTGTTGAATGCCTCGCCAGCACAAGAAGCTTAATGGAAATATCTAGACAAGGAAAGGGGATATGTAAATAGTTGCGATTCTATTTGTAAGCTTGTAAAGTCTTTGTTTTAATCCTGAGCAGCAATTGTTGAAAAGATTTTGCATTCCGCTTACTTTAGAGAAAGCGTGATGTAACATGGTGCAACATGGAACCTTGAAAATGGGATGTGTGCAATTAGAATTGATAATTTAAAACACCAGTCTAATTAAGTTGAATACTGTAATAAAGTATTCTTCATGTTTTTATATCTTACATTATATATATATATATATATATATATATAGAGAGAGAGAGAGAGAGATAGATAGATAGATAGATAGATAGATATAGATATAGATATAGATAGATAGATAGATAGATATAGATATAGATAGATAGATAGATAGATAGATAGATAGATGATAAAATGAAACTCAGAAGTAATGACCAATCGCAATTTTGATGGCGTAGAAGTGTTGATCCATAATGAATAGTAAATTGTAGGCGAAGACAGATTAAATCCTCATTTCTTATTTCAGCAACATATTGCGCCCACACACAAGTTGACACATTAAATGTGCCTATTCCAAAAAGTTTACATTTTAGATAAATTTGCAGTAAGATAGAAGGAGCAGAGAGACCGCTGTCAAGCTAGGCTAAAGCGTAGAAAGCAAGTGCGTTATGTTCAGGGTGAAGTCTTAATTCAGACTGAGTTAGTTTTGGTTCGCAATACATTTTGACTGGATAGTTAAAACTG